ACCAGCGTCGAAGCATCGTTGAACAAAGTTGTGGTGGTAGTAAAAGAAGGCAAGAGTCACCAGCAGCCTAAGCAATTTTAGCACGCGTTAGTTTCACTGCTGGCGGATGCAGTGAATGATTCGCCAGCAGTCTCGCCCAGTGCCGCTCTTCAAGTGAAGACTTCTGGCGATAAAACTGATGACGGCTGCGGCTGCGGCAATTGCTGATGTTGCTGCAAAGTCGACGCCGGCTGTCAGTTGATTGCACCACTCGGCAAAGACGAAAGGCTCATCATCATCAGCAGCAGCAGCAGCATCGGCAAAACAGAAAAGAACAGAACAGTATCCTCATCATCGGTGGGCGCCACGAGTCTGCTGCAGTCGTTGCCGCCAGTGCCATCACCAGATGCGAAACCACCACCACCAGCAGCACCACCAACCATCAAGTGAACATGTTGGCGCCGATTGCATCCCGGGTACGGCTCGATTCGCTCCGCTTCGCCGTGACTCATCACCACGACCACCACCAGCAGCAGCATGCCTTAGGGAAGGTGCTACCATGCCTCGTGTTTACCTGAGCGCAAGAAGGCTCAAATTGTACAAACAACAAATGCAGTGTGCTAGTGTGCCAGTGGAAAGTGTGTCTGTTCATTGTCATCTCCACCACTGCACTCCGCCACTCTTCGACAACGTGAGATACTCGCTCCTGTGGCTACCATTGCCACCACCGCCGTCGACTAACCACTGCCAATTGACAACTGTCACCTGTACGGCGGCAGTGGTGCGATTCCAGTGGCGTCTCCTCCTGCAAGAAGACACCAACTCCTTTCGTTGCCACTCGTCTTGTCTTGCCTTGCCTACTCTTTTACAGTACTCGCTGTTTACCGTCTTGTGAGATTGCACCAGCACCAGCAAAACTGCGTCTGGCACTGCTAATCAATCTGGTTGTTAATTTGATTCCGGTGAAACGTGATCCTCTCCAGAGATAATTAGACATCCAGTCCTCTGCCAGCCAGCCAGACGACTGTACGCCACAAAGTTGACATTAAGTGGAACTGCAAGTCGAGGCTTACCACCACNTGTGATCCTTTCCAGAGATAATTAGACATCCAGTCCTCTGCCAGCCAGCCAGACGACTGTACGCCACAAAGTTGACATTAAGTGGAACTGCGAGTCGAGGCTTACCACCACCACCAACACCAGCATCACTACTACTACAGTTGTTTGTCCTTCACGTGAATGAAGAGAAGCGACATTTCACTATAATTCACTAACCACCACGGCACTACGCCCCCTCCAATTACTCTTCATCTGCTGCGAAATTGCCAGTTGCTTTTCAAAAAACCACTGTGAGAATGTCAGTTTTTATATTTTTTTTTGCTTTGCTGCCTCATTAGCATCAGTTTGCGGCTCATTTTTTTTGGTGCAGATCAGATCGAGGCACAGAGAGTCTCTGCGTGAGGCCTCACTGACTGACCGCGTGGATGCTGCTGTCTTCCTTTGTCCACTTTGCTCTCTGACCACCATTGGCCACTTTTGCGCCCCACTGGGCGCTGTTCGCGGTCCTCCATCAGATGCTGATGCGGTCGGCAGTGACCACCATCATCGTCGTCGCAGTCGCTGTCACCATCCTCAGCCTCATCTTGTCCTCTTTTTTCCGCCTGTGCCACTTCAGAGTAATATTATTTGCGTGTTTGTGTGTCCTCCACCACGAGTCGCCTCGTCGCATTAGTCTGAACGATATCTCCTCTTCGCCACAAATGCATACACACACACACACACCAGCACAATACACAAGAGAGGACTCCACTTGCTGTTGCTCCCACTTCATCTTCATCTTCGTCGTCATCGTGTCATTTGTGTGCTGTNCAGCACAATACACAAGACTCTTGTGACAAGAGAGGACTCCACTTGCTGTAGCTCCCACTTCATCTTCATCTTCGTCGTCATCGTGTCATTTGTGTGCTGTTTGCTAATTGGCAAGCGGCACATCTACACAGTTTCACGAGGGTTACACAGTCAATCTTGTACTTGTGTTTACTTTCCACTTCTCTATCTTGCCACCACTACTCTCCCACTGTCTCCTGTTGGCCATGGTGCTCCAAGCTTTGATTTGATGATGAGTTAATAGTCGGACTTTTAATTGCGCCACTGTGACACTGTCGTGGTCGCCGCGTGAGTGTTCCTCTACCTTCTGCGTTGCAGTTGTACGACTTCTGCTGCCACTTTGTCCGTACTTGTACTTTGTCCATTCATTCATTTATTCATTCATTAGCGATCCATTCTGTTGTTGCAAGTTGGCGCCATCCAGCTGCTAATTAAATGGACTCAATTCAATTTGCCCGTCAGACAATTTCCTCTACGGAGGTCTGACTGACTGGGCAGTCAATTTGCCGTGAAACCTTGCAAAAATGTTCCTTCTCTGTTCCTCGTTTAGTTCAAGGCTTGTCTTGTCTGGATGCTTTCTTCGTTCAGCTGCCTCCGCTGTCACAGCAGACTGCCTGTCTCTGCTTTGCAACGTGCTTTTGGCAGTGCAGTCACTGTCACTGTCAAACAGTGGTCTTTTGTTGTTGACCATTTGCGAATGAATGAATGGATGAAAAGGGAAGATGAGGAGAGGGGAGATCACCACACAGTGAATGGTGAATGATCAGTGACTCAAAGAGTGAGCACAGGGCGCCATTGTCAAACAACGATACTACTGCCCTTTTGCTTTCTTTTCCTTTCTAAACATGTCGCAGTGTTCTGCCAGCACCACCACCACCACCTCGACGGCCACAAGCGCACTATCAGCGGCAGTGATAGCACGCGCCCATTCCGCTCAGCCATTCTGTCAGACTGTCAGCTCAGCTAGTCTCTGCCTATCTGATACTTCTTCTGCCCACACTGCTCTTTCTCACCCACAGCTACTGACTCATTCTTTCCTCTCTTTTTCCGCAGATCAACTTTGACAGTGACAACATCAGCAGTCCAGCAGCGCGCCATTACTCCGATTACCAGCACCCGAACCCGAAACAAGAGCTGCAGCAGCAGCAGCATTGCACCCGTCAAGGGCAATAGGCCTTCAATGTGAACTTTACTGTGCTGTGCTGTGTGTCTCTCAGCTCTGATCACATCTATACCCTCAATACTCACTTTTCATCTATCAACTTACTCGCTCTCTCTCCCCCGCACTACTCATTGCCCGTTATCTGACATCTCCGCCAGCTCAGCCCGGCGGCCGGCATGCCGACGTTTTCCCCGAGCCGTGCTCTCACTACTCTACACAACTCACTCCTACTCTCTCCTTACCTACCCCTTTCCGCTGCTACCACCACTGCTGTCCATCACCACCATTACCACCACCACCACCAGCACTATCAGCGTCGTCTATCAGGCGCATGTCCACCTCATCAACTCTGCCCACCACTAGTTCACTCTGCTCTTTCTCAATGCCATGGGTTCTAAGCAGTCCTCTCTGTCTGACAGCTCAACGGAAACGAGTCCAGACAGCTACAACGCGGCGCACTTCAGCAACGGCGCCGCCACTGGTCACCACAATCACCACCAGCAAAATTACAACAACGCAAAGCAACTCAAGAAGCGGAAAAGCCTGAAGAAGGCGGCAGCTGCGGGCAACCTGCAGCTGGTCACTACTCCGGTGGCCAATCAGTCGAGTACGCCTTCATTTCGTGATAAAATTGACCACCTGAAGATGGGCGTCAGCTTCGACACCAGCGACTCCTCGGAGATGCCCGACGCCGAGGAGCTCGAACGGCGATTTCTTAAAAGTAAAGTTTTCCACTTTAACTTTTTACAAGTTTTAACAATTTTTCCCCTTTCTCAGTTCTCACCTCTATGGACCTGCCGCCGGACAAGGCAAAGGTTCTGCGCGGCTACGATGACGACCGAAAGTGGGAGATGATTCGCGACCAGGAGAAGGTGACGGCGAGGCAGTCGCCGCAGTCGTACCTCGAAAAGCTAAACACCTACCTGGATCCGAAAGCTAGTCGCAACTCGAAGAAGATTCGCAACCTGGGCGGCTTTACCAGCACTCAGGTGCTGCGCGACCTGGAGATCAGCCTGCGCACCAACAACATCGAATGGGTGCGCGAGTTTCTCTCCGACACCAACCGCGGTCTGGACATTCTCATTGAGTACCTCAAGTTTCGTCTGGCCACGCAAAAGGAGGAACAGCTGAGAGAGCTGAAGGAGCAGCAGCAGCAGCAACAACAACAACAGCTGCTCCTTCTGCAGAACAACAGCAGCTTCCACCACCACCACAACACCTCCACGGGGACGCTCCACGGAGAGCACTCCTCCAGTCAGGAGCTGAACCACTCGACGCACTCCGGACCGACTTCGGGCCACTCTGCCGCGTCCTCCTCGGGCCACCCAACCTCACATCACTCGACCACTGCCTCCTCCAGCCACCACCTCACCCGAAGGCCGTCGTACCTCTTCTCTCGGCAGCACTCCACCAAGGTGAAGCNACCACAACACCTCCACGGGGACGCTCCACGGAGAGCACTCCTCCAGTCAGGAGCTGAACCACTCGACGCACTCCGGACCGACTTCGGGCCACTCTGCCGCGTCCTCCTCGGGCCACCCAACCTCACATCACTCGACCACTGCCTCCTCCAGCCACCACCTCACCCGAAGGCCGTCGTACCTCTTCTCTCGGCAGCACTCCACCAAGGTGAAGCTAGGTCAGGTGGGCGACGACGTGCACGTCTGCATCATGTGCCTGCGCGCCATCATGAACAACAAGTTTGGTTTCAATCTGGTGATGGAGCACTGCAGCGCCATCAACTGCATCGCCCTCAGCCTCAACCACAAGAGCCTGCGTACAAAGTCGCTGGTGCTGGAGCTGCTGGCGGCGATCTGTCTGGTGAAGGGCGGCCACCAGATGATCCTCGCCGCCTTTGACCACTTTAAGGAGGAGCTGAAAGAACAGCGCCGTTTTCAGACTCTGATGCACTACTTTATCAACTTTGAAACCTTCAACATTGACTTTATGGTCGCCTGTATGCAGTTTATTAACATCATCGTCCACTCTGTTGAGGATATGAACTTTCGCGTTCACCTGCAGTATGAGTTTACGCAGCTCGGTCTCGATGACTACTTGGAGAACAAGCTGAGCAACACCGAGTCAGAGGACCTGCAGGTGCAGATTCAGGCGTACCTCGATAATGTCTTCGACGTGGGCGCGCTGATGGAGGACGCCGAACAAAAGAACACCACCGTGGAGCGATGTCAGATGCTGATTCAGCAGTTGTCGCACTCGCACGAACTGGAGCGAGAGTGGGAGGCCAAGTTCCACGAATTGAAGCAGAACTACGGCGAACTGGAGGAGGAACGGGAGACGCTGCTGGCCGACAATCGGGTAATGCATGAGGAGCTGGGTCGCATCAGGCAGTGCGTCAACGCAAAGGAGGAGGAATCGAGGAGGCGGGAGTCACTGCTCGAGTCGAAGATTCTAGAGCTGGAGCAGAAGGGCGCACAAATGGTGACCGGCGGTGGGCCGCCGGTGCCAGCCAAACCACTAGTCAACACCACCAGCACGGCATCATCGCCCATCAACACTGCGGCTGCTGCTGGGTCGCCCTCCGCTGCCTCACCACTGGGCGGGAAGTCGATGGCGAATGGACCCAGTTTGGGTGGTGGGGCAATGGCTCCGCCACCACCACCACC